TCAAGAGAACTTGAAGACCTTGTTATCGAACTTTTTTACCTCGAAGCCATAACAGGAAAACTTGACCAACAGAAAGCACTGTTAGAGGTCAACTCTGCAATTGGGCGTGATATACGTATTGAGCAGGTAAAATGATGATATATTTCACCAATTAGCAGATAGATGAGCTGCATCAAAAGCTGGATTCATGGGGTGTTCGAGTCGAGTCTGTATTGGCTCATATAGCTAATGAAATAAAGATGGTTAATGAGCGACGATATGAATCCGAGTTACATCAAAAGGAGATTTTGGAAGCGTCATTGTCTATCAAAGAAGCCTTGCGTGGCCAAATGGCGAAATCAGACGTACGTTTTCTTGCTAGTACTTATAAATCAACAAATCTGTATTGAGGGAACTTTGGCAATCTATGATTTTATATACTCCTATGTTTAGTGTGTGATGTATGAAAATAGACCATTGGGTCAATATACTGCTTCTAGGCCATTATGTATTCAGCGATATATGATGTAATTCAAATATAATCGGATGTATCATGATCTTAAAGTATCTATTTTCATTTTTCAAGGGATTTCAAACAATAATCTATTTAAGGTATAGACTTCTATAGGGTTGACTAAGGCTGTTTTAATTCACAAACCCGCTAGTTGCCTCGTGAAAATTTTAAGAGTTTGTTATATTCGTTATCTTGATCGATGACCGTGGGCAGATGAATTAAGTGAGAACTGAAATCCAAATTTTCTTGAATATATATTTCAAATTTAAAACAATTAGTCCCTTTGATAAATTTCGATAGTGATATTAAAAGACGAAGATGATCAGAACTATGTGATATATTAGCGCAATACATTTCGAACAATCTGGTCACACATATACTTGTTAAGAGCATTTATATATAAAAATAAAAGGTCAACTGGACAGGAAACGGGGTAAGAGGAGATAAGGATAATGATAAGAGTAATAACAATAATTTGAACACAAAGCGAAACCTAATCATTCTGGTAATATTGACTTATTATCCAGAATGATTAGGTTTCGCTTTGTGTTCACATTATTATTATTACTCTTATCATTATCCTTATCTCCTCTTACCCCGTTTCCTGTCCAGTTGACCTTTTATTTTTATATATAAATGCTCTTAACAAGTATATGTGTGACCAGATTGTTCGAAATGTATTGCGCTAATATATCACATAGTTCTGATAATCTTCGTCTTCTAATATCATTATCGAAATATATATTTCAGTAATTGGATTCACTAGCATGTACAGTAGTAGCAAAAAATGAAGGTGTGATTAGATTGAATAGGCACAACCGGACTGGAATAAAATTAGTATCGCGTGGACACCAGATATAGGCCTCTGTAATTGTAGTGCATTTACATTAACACTGACATTTAGGGTCACCAGTAATTGTATTAGAATAGAACTAACAGTGGTAACCGAATAACCAACAATTATGTTGTATTATAATAAATCCAGGACCAAACTAGACTGATCTAATCTGGATTATAGTGATATGAACACAAGTTCTCTGGCGTCAATTAGCATGTCAAGTATTTATAGGTCAATATGATAGAATAAGACCAACGGTTATATAGATGGACACAACCAACAAAAGGAATATTAGGGTTCGTATATATATATATATATATATATATATATATATATATATATATATATATATATATATATATATATAATCGTAATCAATGATTGGCGACTCTTGGTGATAGGCTCAGAATCGACCACAGTGGCGTAGGTGTATACACTCTCTGTCTCCTCTTAAACGATGAGATTAAAATTACTTTATATCTTTCTTTCTACCAACTAATTCTTTCTTCCTGTACTATATCCTTATATGCAATCTTCCTTTTATATATTACCACAATTGACTTAAGTACTATGAATCCGGTGTTCATCTTGTTGTGCTAATGAGGTATGGGAACTTGGACCGATGCACATATGTGCCTGGTCCTACGTTGTAGCTGACTGACTGATTCACATATAAGGTATTCGAATTAATGACACAACTGGGCATAATTTAATCGGTAGAATTGAACTAATGCATTTGACTGTTACATTCTCAGTTAAATATCGTGTTCCAAAATGAATATACAATTATGTTCATTTAACATGTTTGTATTAACTGCCATAGAGGTCCATGTGGTTGAACATCTCTCTAGGTCTTACTGCTGTAGCATAAAATATGTATCTTTTTGCAGTGGAAGTTAGAGTAGCTTACTAAAGTTTTATGCTGTTATAGTGTGCGTCAAATTAACCGTTTGGCTCGTTTACTAGTTCGCTTTATATAAGTGGGTATTATTTCTAATGTGTAAGAGTATTATAAGGATGATAGATGTCCTATTCTCTGAAGCATGTCAGTAAAAATGTTGATAATCCTGGCTTTTCAAGCTTCAAAGGATCCATTATTTACTTATGTACTGACTCTAGGATTTAAATTTTGTCATTTAGTTTATTCGGCATGTGGATTAGAATTCAAATCTGCGAATTATGGTACTGTAAGTTCTTGTTCTATTTTATAGGCTCAAAGTTTACGGATGGATATGGACGACATACTGATTCATCCAGATTTATTAGAAAGTCGTGTAGAAGCAACTCGTCAAAGTTCAAGCAACACTGAAAGTGTTGGTGATCGTGATGTTCGCAGTCGAATAACTGTTTTTAAAAATCTTCGGCATGGTAAATCTTCCAAACAACAGTAGTGTTCAACAACTGTGAACATGTATGATTTATTATTCTGTGTACAACTTTTATAAATTACTGCAACTCAAAGAGTGCTGCGTTTTACCTTGAATTTTTCGCAATGTCACTGTTTTGGATATAAAGCGGTCAATTTATTATAAATTTTTCTTGAAGCAACTTTTTGACAATAAAAACAGAATTCTAGGTAGTTGGTCATTTTCATACTAATCAAAGTCTTTGCAGATATCAGTTGTTGATAAGGTTTTGGGGATAAATTGTTACATTGTTGTACTTTCGAATGGTCTTTTTTCATTAGGGTATCTTTTATCTTTCCCGCAAACTGCATTTTGATTATTGGGTTTTTACTTCGAGATGGAAAAAATTAACTGGATATTTCTTACCAATATTTAACATAGTATCTTCATTTTATTTTGTTGCTTGTTAGTGTTTTACTCTGGACTCCTCTGATGACTTTAACTTGTGCAGTTAGTTCTAGTCATTCACTTCAAACCGTGCTTATTGAATCCACTGATTAGGAATGCTGCATTTTCGTCTAAATATCATTGGGTTTTGATATCTATTTCGTTTATCAAATGTATAAAATGTATAAAAGTGGTTTTTGCTTCTTGATAAATGAGGGATTTAGGTCATGACTTTGGCCGTTAGCATTTAAGAATGCAAAAGTGTAGCTTGTTTTTCACAATTTCAAGATATGGATATAGTATATAAAACTAAAAATCTGTACCAACAAAGCTGTACTGGCGTGTGATGTCTTTGTTTATACTTTTTTTGTTTACTAAAGCTGAACTCCTCACTATCTTGTTCTTAGCATTGACCTCTAATGATATTGACTCCACTTATAGATTAAATATTTGCCATATAATCAGTTTTTCTGTCTCCCCACATTATATCTTCTCGACAGATTAGTGGTAGTACTGTGGAATCTACGTAGGATAAGTATCACGCTTGGATCTTAACTATTCCGTCCCTGGACCGATACATATTTGTTCCAGGTATTTATTTTATTTAGTTAAGCACATAAACCTTGGTACAAGGAGGCACCACATAAATAATTCAGTTTGTGTGAGGGGCTGGGATACTGACCAGGTACCCGAACCGGAGCAGGTGGTTTTCTTAGGGGGCTACACCAGAAGCCTTCGACCTGAAGGTCTGATTCACAAGGCAGTGGAGCAACGTCAAAAGGTGCAATTCCATGGTAACCGGTGACCATACGCTATTCGTTCCTTCAGGATATTGGAACCCATGTGAGCGATTGGTTTGGAATGTGGGTTTTCCAACTCCCCTAGGTGGACTTTCCGTGTCCACCAACCCGGTGGACACCCCCGCCTTGAGAAGCCAGTGAGTAGGACTTCGCTGGCAGTGGTTGTATGTGTGTGGCTATGTGAGAGCATTTTGAGAGGGCGAGCTAACTCTCCCCACTCTCGGCCATAGCAGGGCATATGGGGGTATTAGTTTGTATATGACTGATTGCTTTCCTAATGATCGTCTGAGCTGTTCGATTTCACAGCTGCCAACATGTACTACTGTAGTGAAAAAAACAAGTGGGGAAGACCAGTTTGTTTTCTAAAGTGAACTTATACAGTGGCTTAGTAAAATATGAAAACCATACATTAAATTCATCCTTGACTCATCTTTGCGTTGTCCTTTACCTATTCGATTATTCCCCTGATTCTGTTTTTATTTTTATTGCTCCTCGATTTTCTTTCTGTTCTCTTTAATTTTACCTTCTGCTACCAGGCATTTCACTTCCGATTGCGGCTACATACTACTTATATCTGTCGGCATAAGTAGCATACACCACACTATCATCTGCTTTTTTTTCTTAGTCTAAAGCAGAGTGATATGGAAGTGGTTATAGGACCGGTGATGCTATATATTTGTACTTAGTACATATTGTTTGTGAAATTGATCGTGTGTTTGCAAGTTATAAAAAGTTTTATAAAGCTTATCAGTTTCTAGTTCTTATTTGATGTTTAATGAACGTCCTTCAAATATCTGGTAAAGTGAAATAAACTAGCATTAGTTAAAACTGAGTCAAACTCATTAACAGCCAATTGATACCGGGTTAGTAAGATATTTCATTTGAGATGCAAAAGCATATCACACATGTCTGGCTCTATCTGACTGGAATATCGGCGAAAGTAATGTGTTTATTTGTGAATATAGATAATAATTTGAGATCTGTGGGTATATTCAATGTGATTTATAGATATTTTACGTAGATCCTATTGGCAATGTAACCATTTTTAATAATAGTCATGTTTATGATTCCTTGAAGTTATTAATTTGGAGTCGTAAATGGTGTTTTAATCTATCTTACATTCGTTCAATATTATGTGAATTCTTGTTTATAGTTCTAATAGTAATTTCGACACAACTACACAACAGTGATCTTTTTAATCCATGTTGTAATGACTACAGCTAGTAGTGGTGGTACAACAATTCGTTGAGTTAGCTGAGATCAAACTTCGATAAAATTTTAGCTAGCATTATCTGCAGTGGATTTATAATCTATCTCTAATTAAATGCCACAATAATTTATTCATTAACACAAGCCGTCGAATGAAGTTTTCAGCAATTTTCAGTTTATAAATATTTCTGACCATTGTCGCCGGATTTTACAGTTTTATTAATCAGTTAAAGATATTTTGACCGTTAAGATTTAATAGAGGTTTCTTGGGTGAGACCCACACATAAAATTTTGGATTCTATTCAGGGACCTGAGGGATGGTACAATTTATGGACCCCATGATTGCAGGTCACACTGGTTTACAGTGGTTATTCTGCCAAGTTTGAATGCTGGAAACTGCAGGGAGAAAGATGTGAGGGAGAGGAGCTCTTTCAGTTAGAATAATTTCACCAGCAAAATAAACTAACCTTGTTGAGACATAGGTTCTGAAAATGTGACAGTTTATGCTTGATTTATTTGTTTTTTAAATTGTTATTCCAGCGAAACATTTTAATGTGACTTGTTGGTAAGTGATAATAAAAATAATCTAACTAGTTTACTGACCACCGTAGTTAGATGTTGCTATTTTTACTTGAAAGTATCTTGTATTCATGTATTCTAGTTGTGTAGAATAAAACTTGGTTTTTCATAACAAAACACATTTGTTTTATAACTCTTAGATAAGAAAATGTGCGTATTCCATACATCAAATGATTTTTCAAATACATTTCTTCCCTACATACTTTTATTGATTTCCAAGAGACATGTGGAATACAAAAATGTTAAAAAATAAGATGAATATTTTGAGTGAGATTCTTTACCTGTTTATAAATACTAATCTAGCACTATCTCATGTTTACCTGGCTGTAGTTCATAAACATGTGTTCCGGGAAATCATTATAAGATTGGTGCTGAAAACAGTATGGATAGATAATTTGTCAGCGATAATGCAGGAAAACAGTAACAGTACTTCAGTCAAAGTGGACGATATAAAATATGATAAGGTCCTAGACTGTCTAGAAATACAAACATAAGTAATGAATGCAAAAAGCGTGACAATTCCACAGGTCTTTGGGCGAAAATTCAGTTAATTTGAAATTAAAACATTAGATCTATGTGCTAACTGAACTCTGACTCGCCAGCCAATTTGTTTGCTATAGTGCCGTTGAAGTAACTTCAAAAACACAGTTTATTATCATTTTGGGATGTTTTTTGACTCAAATTGCTCATCTACCATTCTTCAGACAACGTAGAATCAAGAGTTAAATGCTAAGGTTTATGGAACAGTGCGTTTTGGTCTACCTATATATCTGGAAGTGTAAATCAGACATAAGAAAGCAATAAGAAAATCAACCGATAGGCAGACAGACTGACAAACAAAAACATCAAAGGATTAAGTTAAGCGTGTATACAAAATAACGTTTCTACAGAGTTAATTATTATTTTACAAATGATTCCTAAAAATGGAAAGTATGCAATAAATCTAAGCTGAATGTAGTCAGGGCTATAAAATATAAATAAGACTGTGCCACTGAGACCGATTTTGGCTCAATCGTGGGTTACGATTATCAATGAGGTTCTACATCTACACCTGACGTGTAATTCCATATATATCTCTATTAGAAGAAGATCTAATCCAGAAACATTTATTGTCTATGGGAAATAGTAAACATAGGAAGAAAACAAGGATGCATTGCCACTTTTAATAGTGTATATATTGCTATGTCCAATAATCTTAATGAATAAGTTATAAATATGCACAATATTAATGGTGATAAAACGTTCTTTATAGAAAAAGGAAAATCTAATAGAGTCATTAAGCAATTATAATACAAATAGAAATATATTTGAGTTCTAGTTTAAAGTTTATTAAAGAAAACAAACAAACAAAAGTATCGTCTTTCATATTTGATGGGTTTTCCCTGATTATTTCTCATGGAAGGCAAAACAGGAGAAAGGAGCGATCCAGTTTGATTTTGTTCAGATATCGTTTTACAGAATTCCATTTCTTCAAACTTGTGCAATATTAGCTGAAATAAACACAGGCTAAATAGAAATAAATGCACAACCTATGGTTTATGTAATATTTTGTCATTAAGTAACTGAAAATAATTGTTATTATTAGTAATTAACTTAGTACTGGGTAGATTCGAGATCTATATTTATTTTGTTGTTTAACTAGTGATAGACAAGAAATTCACCGATGAAAATGATCATATGAATCAGCTATACAATTTTCTAGTGATATTCTAAGTTATGAAAAATTTTCTTTTATGAAAAACAGAAGTTTGTTGATTTGAAAATTCTTATTCATTGTGAATCATCATAATAAAGCTTTCGACTGGTGAGAAGACATTTTATTGAAAGTGAATTTATATAAATAACTTGTACTCACATTCTTCTAACTTTTCATTGTTGTTAGGACTAGCAACATTTATCAGTTATCCGAATGGCGAGGTAAAATTATGTATTTTCATGCATATATATACATGTTTCCCGCTTTTAAGCACTGGGTTTCTTCTGGTTCCTTACAACTCATTGAAGCCCGTCGGTCTACTCCGGGTGACCGTGAGTTTGATCATAAACGAAGGATGTTACGTCAGGAAATTGGGCAAAGCTTGCGTAAGGACCGAGAAGCCTGGTGGTCGAAGCGTGCTAATGAGCTGGAAGCAGCAGCTGCATCTGGTAATTACCGGAAGCTCTTCCAGCTCATCCGAGCCACTGGCAGCAAGAAGTCTGGTGTGAGTGAAACAATCTGCGAGGATGATCGGATGCCAATCACTAACATCCATCGACGTCTTGGACGGTGGGCAGAATTTTTCGAAGGGCAGTTCAACTGGCCTGCTGCTCCGGCAACATCGGTCAGACTGTCCTGCCCTCCATGGCCGGTGACGACTGATCCACCAAATGAGGAGGAAGTCCGCAAGGAACTCCAACTCTTGAAACGTTACAAATCACCTGGCCCAAATGACTTACCTCCGGCTCTTTTTAAAGATGGTGGTGACTTTTTGTCTAAGGAATTGACGACGTTGTTTACAAAGGTTTGGGAACTAGAGAGTGTGCCAACGTCATGGAATGAGTCGACAGTTGTCCCTATCCTTATAAAGGGTTCACGTCGTTCCTGTAACAACTATCGGGGGATAAGTCTACTTCCGATTGCGTCCAAACTATTGGCTTCCGTCATTCTTCGTAGGTTGTTCAAAACCCGAGAAAGATTGACTCGCGAGGAGCAGGCTGGATTTCGTTCTGGTCGAGGATGCATTGATCATATCTTCACCCTCCGCCAAATGTTAGAACACCGCCATACTTATCAAAGGCCAACAATCGTAGTGTTTCTTGACATCAGGGCTGCCTTCGATTCGTTGGACAGAACTGTTCTCTGGGATTGTCTATTGAAGAAGGGTGTGCCTGAGAAGTTTATTAATATCCCAAAAGCCCTATATAAAAACACCTCAGGCAGAGTGAGGGCATACAACCACCTCTCTCCATTGTTCCATTCGAGTAGTGGGGTTAGGCAGGGTTGCCCAATCTCACCATTCCTCTTCAACTTTGCCATCGATGACATTCTGGAAACAGCTCTGATGAATGTAAGTAATGGTGGTGTGGATCTGTTGCCTGGAGAAAGACTTCTCGACCTTGAGTATGCGGATGATATTGTCTTACTGTGTGATAATGCCCAAGGCATGCAATCCGCACTTAATCAGTTGGTAATCAATGTCCATAGGTGTGGTATGTGCTTTGCACCTTCGAAGTGCAAAGTACTTCTACAAGACTGGGAGGATTCCAATCCTGTACTCACCCTGGATGGTGAGCAGATAGAAGTAGTCGAGAAGTTCGTGTATCTGGGTAGCTGCATAAGTGCTGGTGGGGGTGTGAGTGATGAGATCAATGCACGTATAGTGAGAGCCAGAGCGGCTTATGCCAATCTGGGCCATCTATGGCGCCTTCGTGATGTTAGTCTGGCCGTAAAAGGTCGGATCTACAACGCGTCGGTGAGAGCAGTTTTGCTCTATGCTTGTGAAACCTGGTCTCTCCGAGTTGAGGACGTTAGACGACTCTCTGTGTTCGATCATCGCTGTCTCCGAAGGATTGCTGACATCCAGTGGCAACACCATGTCAGTAATGCAGAGGCTCGGCATCGTGTGTTCGGGCACAGAGATGATAATTCAATTGGTGTTACCATCTTGAAACACCGACTTCGGTGGCTTGGACATGTTCTCCGAATGTCGTCTCAGAGAATTCCACGTCGTGCATTATTTGCCGACTCTGGGACTGGTTGGAAGAAGCGGAGAGGTGGTCAGTGCATGACATGGTGTCGTGGTATGAAAGAAAGATGCAAAGGACTGGCTTGTGTTGGTCCTTCACGACTCCCTGGTTGGGGTCTGAGAGATGGTGCAACACAGTGGCTAGAGACGTTATCAGATATGGCTCAGAATAGAAGCCAGTGGCGATCCTGCTGTAACCTTCTTTTACTTTCTTCATAAAAAGTGGTTCTGTCTCCCTTACCTGAAAGATTTCTTCCGATTGTACCTTTGCGTTCCCTGATTACTAGCACATTACCTTACACCAATCTCTTCGTTATTGTTCTCTCCTTTTTTTGTTGCGCTCCTTAGCTTTTTTTCTTTCTTTGTATTCCTCTCGAATTTTCATTGTTTTGTGTGGCGCATATATATTGGCGCTCTCTTGTAATATATACATGTTAAGTTTTCTGAACTCCGCCTATAGCTCTCCCAGGATTACTGCCGGTCCGAAGCCTGTATTAAGGAGGAGAGTTGATCATGGGGTCGGTAACCCCATCCCATGCTAAAATAACGCTAACCAGAAAAGTCATCCAAACTCTGCCCTGGGAATAGAAAAATTTTCATTTAGAAGAGTTGTGACTACTCATGGTGAAAGCCGAGATTCTTCGGGAATCACGAGGTCGATGCTTCTAACGACCAGAGCAACAATTCATATAGGTGCATGGAATGTCCGAACAATGTGGGAGACCGGGAGGACTAATCAAATAGCTGCGGAAATGAGATACAACTTGACGGTTCTAGGAAACAGTGAAACCCATTGAACCCAAGTTGGAAAGAAAAGGTTAGATTTGGTAGACATGCTGTTGTACTCTGGTAGTGAAGAAGAAAATGCTTCTCACACACAGGACGCTGCAGTGATGCTGTCTAAAGAATGATGAGAAACATTTATAGAATGGGAATCTTATCATTTCAAGATCCTCGAAGCATCTTTCAAAGCAAAGGAGGGAAACAATGAATGTTATCCAATGTAAAGTACCCGCCAACGATAGCGATGACGGCGATAAAGATCAGTTCTATGAAAGGCTGCAATCGACCATAACGAGATGCCCAGGAAAAGATCTGACAATCCTGAAGGGAAATCTGAACGCCAAAGTCGGAATGGACAACACTGGATATGAAGATATCACGGAACGACATGGATTGACTGGGAGAAAGAAACGAGGACGGTTACAGATTTGCAACTCTGCATGCATTCAACAAAGTGGTTATTCCCCCACAAATGCATACACAAAGCTACATAGGTCTCACCGGATCATATTACAAAGAGCCAGATCTACCATATCAGCATCACTGAAAAATTCAGATCAATGGAAAACATGAGAACTAGGAGAAGAGCTGATATGGATCACTACCTATCGGTTGTCAAGATGAAACTAAAGCTAAAGAAGCACTAGACAACTGAAGAAACAGTGCTACAAAGGTTTAATACAACCTACCTTGAAGATACTGAAAAATTCAACTAATTCTAGATCCCAGCAACAGGTTTCAAGCCTTACAAGATCTACTCAAAGAAGAGGAAGCTACTATGGCGAACAACTGGAAAGGGATCAAAGAAGCACGGACTTCAACGTGCTAGGAGGTTCTGGGCTTCAAGAAACACCATGCACAATGTATCTGTTGAAATACTTGGCAGGATCAAGAAGACCGCAATTAACAACAGTCGAACAAAAACAGATAAAGCCAAGGCATAAGCTGAACACACAGAAGCAAACAAACAAATGAAAAAGAACATTAGAGCCGACGAGCGGAAATGTGTGAAAGACTTAGCGATATCAGCGGAATAAGTTGCAAGAGAAGAAAATATGAAACAATTGTACGATATGACAACTAAACTAGCAGGAAAATATAGCAAGCCAGAACGACCAGTCAAGGACAAATAAGGCAAAGCAGTCACTAAGATTCAAGGACAGAGGAACAGCTGGGAAGAATGCATCGAGGAACCTTAGAGTAGACTAGGTCCATTGAATCCACCGGACATCGAAGTAACACACACACATACCTTCCTATAAATGTCATCCCATCGACGAAATCAAGATGGTCATTAGACAAATAAAAAGTGGGAAAACAACAGGACCCGACAATATATCACATAAATCACTATTCATACATAGAAGTAACTGCAAACATGCTCCACGTTCTATTCAGGAAGATTTGGGAGGAAGTACAAGTGCCGGTGAATTGAAGAGAACACCTCATCAAGATACCAAATAAAGGAGAACTGATCAAGTGTGAGAAACAGGCATCACACTACTGTCACTACCAGGAAAAGTTTTCAATAGTGTTGCTCATCCGGATGAAAGATTCAGTAGACTCCCAACTTCGAAATCAACAGGTTGGATTCCCCAGGGGTCGGTCGTGCACAGATCAAACCGCGACGCTACGGATCATTTTTGAACAGTCAGTTGAGTGGAACTCGCCACTATACATCAACTTCATTGCCTAGGAGAAGGCATTTGATAGTGTAGATAGGAAAACATTAAGGAAACTTCTTCGACACTATGAAGTACCTGAGAAGATCGTCAACATTATCCCAAATTCATACGATGAGCTACAATCCAAAGTGATGTATGGAGGACAGCTAACAGATGCGTTCCAAGTGAGGACCGATGTCACACAAGGCTGATTATCCTCCTCCTTTCACTGATAATGTTGTCGGCATTTAAACTATATATATATATATATATATATATATATATATATATATATATATATATATATATATATATATATATATATATATATATATATATATATATATATATGCAAATGCAATTATAATGTTCTGTTACGATATTGGATTTTCTATAAACTCGAGTTGTTATAATTGCTTAGAATCCTTTGGACACCGCTTCACTCTACATGTCTCCAAATCAGAATACGGTTGAACAGAAACGCAATTATCTTCCACATAAACAATACTGAATGGGAGTAGGAGTCACATTAGGGAAGACGTTAGTATATTAATAATTTTACACGAAAAGATTCTGGATCTTTCCCCAAGTATATGCTGCGTCGATTGTCTTAGAAATGGCTAATCAATGTTCTTCAACACAATCCTTCACAGAACATGCTTTAATCAAAGCTATATCCCGCTAACAGAAGTTATCCTCATCTATTCTGTAGTCAACCCATAATGGGGCAATGTTTGACCAAGGATGAATACGAATTTTCCTAAGTCATCATACTTCCCAAAAAAATGGAGATGAATAAATTCAGAAGCATCGAGTCGGTATTCATATGAAATGCAGTGGAAAGCTAAACGTGAAAAATATGGTTCAGAATGAATATTTGAGATTGAGGAGTAAAATTGTTTGGCCACTTCATATAAAGTTCTGAACCATATACTACGATTATTGTGGAGATGCAAACTAGGAAATCTGTCCTTCTCAACGTGGCTCAGGTTAACAGTCAATGAATCCATGACGTGTAGCTATATCTTGTTCTGTTTGCTCTTTGTATTCTTCCAACTGAACATTATGATAGCTCATCAGCTTAAAATGGTTTTATTGAATGAAGAATTATTACTTGTTTCATGTTGACTAAACTCATGAACTGTACTCTTGTTACAGTATTAAGAGCTATTACTCGATGTTGTGGGTTGATCAAAGTTAAACTTACACACTATTGAATCCCGGCCCAGTGATCAAGAGCTTAAGCGTTCGTGTGCGAGACTTAAAGTCCTGGGTTCAATTCCCGGTTGCGAGTTTGCAGAGTTGCAGTGCTAAGGAGAATGAGACATCCGTTCAGTATTTCGAGGTTTTCAGTGGCTGTCTAACATAGATCGGTTTCTGCTTTCAATGAAATTCGACAATCTCCACAACCCCATGTTGACTAAACTTTATTTTTGTTAATAGAAGAATATATATATATATATATATATATATATATATATATATATATATATATATATATATATATATATATATGATATTCTAAATTCCAGGATAACTATAGCTTACCAATATATGAAATTTGTTTACGCACATCACACGCTTCATTCTACCGTTAATAAGTAAATGGAGAAATTAACGTTAATAATTAAAATAAGATTAATACAAGTTAAGAGAATGATAATTGAATAGATTATTCATTACATAATATTAATGGACGGGGAACAGCTAAAAGATAGGTCCTGTAAATATGGAGTTTCAGTGTACTTCTCTCAGTAGTGTCTGCAAATTCACCATTACAGATGAATTTTATAACGAGTGTATATTTAAGAAATCATTTTGTTATGGAAACATTGTTTCATCATTCTGGACAAAAAGCGTTGCGCTTTGCATCTTAGAGAAACTGAAGCAGTATGTAGAGCTGATTTAGATATATTGGGTAGTAGTTGTAGCTCTCATTATATTGTAGACAACGGTTTTGTTTTCCAGATCACAGTATGCTGAATAATGCCTTTAAATTATGAGCATATTGCCTCGATATTGGCTAGCAGCGGAATCCAAGACGCGCGTCTCGTCCTATTTGAGATTCATCAGCAGGTACATCTAGCTGGATTCCACTGCCAACCACTATCCATCTTTGTTTATATATACTCTGTTTGTATAAAGAAATAGGAATTCTAGTTTGCTCACATATATCACCTCAGAAGCCTGAAAAACTCCATTTCTCATAGTAATAGTAATCAGAAAGTGTGATGGCGCCTGAACGTGGAGTGCTGACGAGTCTCAAGTAGGACGAAACCCACATCCTGGATTCTACCGTTAACCACTATCCATCTTTGCTTAGAATGCTTGTGGATTAAAGCAATATCGAGGTATTAAACACAGTATGCACATATGCCAATAAAAGACTGATCAATTGTAGTCCTAAACATCAATGGAAAGATTTAAGTAAACAGTACTAAGTGAATTTAAGCTAATCTATTTTCAAAAAAGTTTTCCTTGGAATTACTAGTTATTTAAAACATCTAGGTGATTTGGCAATTTATGGACTAAATAGAATTGATCAATAACAAATTGAATATATTTAGAGAAATGTAGACAATGAAGTAAACATATTGAAATGGATTCATTATTATTTTCTTGTCGTCAAGACAAAATTAAATTAAAGCAGGTATTTGAAATTCTAAGAAACAAAAATGATATGATCTAGTCAAAACAGATTAGAAATAAATGAAACACAAACTTTAAATGTATGAGATATGAGGAAAAATTTGTTGGGTTGGCAACACATTTTAAAAAAGAATAGATAAGGAATCAAAATGTTTGTTAAGAAGTAAGTATTTCATTGTAAGAGATTTATTAAGATTTTGTATAAAGTAAATGAATAAATTCCTTTTTAAGTCATTAACACGTAATTAATTTATCAATTTAAAAGGTAAATGTGTTATTGTAATGTTAGAGGAGTACGATAAATTTCCAAGAAACAGTTGACAGAATTGAAGATAGACATCAGACTATAGCAGATTTCTGCATTGCTCTTGTATATAGTTAAGTTAGGAAATAATTTAATGATTAATAACACTCTTTAAGATGAATCTAAAATGTGTTGTATGCGGACAAATAAGATATTTCCTACTTAAAACATTTTATTCTGGATTCACTTTTAATTGCTTAGTAGAAGCAAGAAACCATGTGTCAATCTACTTCATAGTCTTCTGATAAAACTTGGAACTGTTACTTAATGACCTTTGTCTTATCATTTTTATAGTAATTTTGACTTAAGAAATAATAAGTATTTGGTTTTCATCTTCAACTAAGAACTATCTGGTGTATATTCCAAGAAATCACCTTAAAACAATTAATTATCTATGAATTACTACAAATTGTAAATGCATTTAAAATATTTGGTCCATATAAATACTAAACTTTAATTCATTGGATTTGAGGTTACGTATATTATTTATCAAAAAATGCTAAACTATTGTTGTTTAATGGTCAAAACGTATTGTACTATCTATATCATCACCTGAAAACTCCCAACCCTGTGTAATAGTACTTATAACTAGCGGTAATTAGAAAGCATTTATGATTACATTTATTTCACTAGATGAATACAGTTAAAAGTTATTAATCACTTATTGCAATTCAGATATATTCAGAGATAACATTATCGATGTTCGCATTAATTATTCTACTTATTTTGTATTGGTCAGGTGCAGGGTTATTATAGTATTGTAATAATCTCAATTTAATGATTGGGCTTGATAAGAAACGATACGAATGATATGGATTAGTTCCAGAAGTTTATTAACGAAACTAGAAGACTTAAATGCATTTGAGAATGTTTTCTGAAAGGTTTGACAATTCTAGAAAACATGACTACAGCTTTAGTGGATCCAAAGTAAGAATCTTACATAGTATGGTTGAACATATTCCACATTGGATGAGGAATATTATTTTATGTAGTGGGTTCACAACTATTTATAGTGCCATATTAAACTGAAAAACTATGATTTTAGGCCCTCATTTTAAGCTTCAAGACATTTTAGTCGAAGAGAAGCATTACAATTCGTTGTTATTATTTGAATTAATTATTCAGATAATAAAACATTATCAAACGACTACATTCCTACCGAACTACGAAAATTGATATTCGTCCGAACTGAACGGTTATTAATAGCTTGAGTTGGTCGAAAATTGTCAGCCATCGATCCTGACCATAATGTATCGGCAACTCGTAATCTCCGAAGAGTTTTTAACTACAGGAAATAAGATTGTACATAAAAATGAAAAGGAAAACATCGAGCGCATTAATGGCTGGAAACACATTTTAACTTAAAGTTATTTAATTTTTTCTTGCTGAAATGTAGTTCGTTTGTTCGATAAAACAAGATTTAACAAAAAAAGGGAACTAATAATTTAGAGTTTCGCTTAGAACAGAATAACTACTATAACAAGCAAGTTATCATCAGAATGAATATTTTTAAAGTAAGGGATTGGCTATGTGAAAAGTAATTAATAGTTTTTACTATTTTCATTAGCATAGACTAATGTCAACCAGAAAATCATTTAGAACTAGAATGTATTGAATTAATATATGATACTGTTAACCAATAATGGTGCCAATCAGTTATACTACTGACTTCATTACTGAGTAGTATGGAATTCATTGAATAAATAATGATCACCTTTATTCCATTTACTTTCTTCATCTGTAATCAATTTTTATCAATCAAAGTTAAAACATATATTTATTGTATTGAGTTATTTTTGAGTCTGTTCTACGTTATTTTCAAATCTCTAATATTTTGTTGTATAGGTTTCTAACTAAATTACATAATCAGATATATTAACTAGTTTACCAGTGACAATTTTGTTTGTCTGTTATTAAATTTGATTTGGATTAGTAAGTGATGGTGTATTGATGACATTTATTAGATACTTTTGACATTGTTAACTATAGTATGAATGATTGTCCCGACTGGTGTTTAAATTTTATGATATTAAAAAGATAATAAATTAAATCTATTCAATGATTTTCTTTCTGTTTAAATGAATTGTATATGAAAACTAGTGACAAGTTCAAAACTTCCAGAGATCACTGGTAATAGTGTTTTAATGCTAAAATTTGATTATAAATAGTGCTTTTGACTTGTACACTATGTCTAAACCTTCAACGCCAAGTGAAATCTTTAGAGTTGTAAACATTTCGTATGCATCAATTTCAACATTCACAAAACTTAATAATCACTGTCAGAAACTAAAATATTACAAACTATCAATGAAACTCTTAATAGATTATAAATTGTCTTGTGAAAATTTGACTCAGAGTGAATTTGAAAAACAGATATTTGCCACTTATAATTAAATAACCGATATACAAGTAGCATCTTTCATTTCACGCTTCTTTGATTATAGTCTTCCCAGAATAAATTATATCTATTTTTACCGCAATTGTTATTGTGTCTCCTAGGAACTACTTTTTAGCAATAAACATTGTGGATTCAAGATGTCATTGAAATAAATTATAACTTGATTGATAATAAATGACGTTGGATAATGAATCATGCTATGCTGTCTTGTTTCTGACTCGGAATATATTTCAAGTTAAGTTATTCAACATTGAACCATAATTTACTTCATTTGGTTAATTTAATGTAATGAGAAAAAAGGCCTTGATCAATATTTTGTCTTTATTAACGATAAAAAGCAAAATGCAGTTCCATATATATGAAAGAACTAATATCAATTTTAGAAAAAGGTAAAACATGTCATCTAGTTGGATAATTACAGACATAAGTAATCCAGTTAAAATTAGTCTAGATGATAATCTATTTAGACTGAAATTCCTCCAGAAAATAGTATTCCGAAATACATCTGAACAATTTTATGGAGTTTCCTTTTTAGATTTTATCACTAACCAATCATTATTTCATTAAATAAACAAATAAATAATGCATAGCAACAAACTATTTAACTTTTACCATACTGAACCGATAGGAAGAGCAAAATTATTTTTATTTTTAGGAACAAAAACAATGAAAAACAGAAACAGAAAAAGAATTCAAATGAATATTTGTCAATAAATTATAAAAAAAACCATCTTATGTATAACATTCTAGTCATGTAAAGGAAGATATGAGAACATTTCCTTTAAGTTTTCTGATTATCATTTGGTATTGTTTACTTGAATTTTCCCATTGATGTTTAGGACTACAACTGATCAATCTCCTATTGGCATATGTGCATTATTTATTATTTCAACATATAGTCATTGGTACAAGGAGGCACCAAATAGATATGTGCCACATAAATCATTCAATTTGTGTGAGGGCTGGGATAATGACCGGGTGCCCGAACCGAAGCAGGTGGTTTTCTTAAGGGGCTACACCTGAAGCCTTTGACCTAAAGGTCTGATTCACAAGGCAGTGGAGCAACGTCAAGAGGTGCAATTCCATGGTAACCGGTGACCATACGCTATTCGTTCCTTCAGGATATTGGAACCCATGTGAGCGATTGGTTTGGAATGTGGGTTTTCCAACTCCCCTAGGTGGACTTACCGTGTCCACCAACCCGGTTAAAGTACCGGACATTCGCTTTTTGTCCTCTCAATTTCGTAAAAAACACCCCCGCCTTGAGAAGCCAGTGAGTAGGACTTCGCTGGCAGTGGTTGTATGTGTGTGGCTATGTGAGAGCATTTTGAGAGGGCGAGCTAACTCTCCCCACTCTTGACCGTATCAGGGCGTTTGGAGGCCTGCATATGTGTATACTGTGCATATTGCCTCGATATCGCCTTAATTCACAAGCACTATAAGCAAAGATGGACAGTGGCGAGCAGTGGAATTCAGGACGCGCAATTCTTCCTATTTGCGACTCGTCAGCTAAATGTACCTCCATCACAGAGTTGATAATCACTCTGGGACTCAAACTCAATACCATTCATTTGAAACGTCATCGCATTATCCGCTTAGCTACTGAGTTCTGATTATCGTTGTAATAAAATTAGCAAATTTCAAATTTTTTTCCAATTATTTAAAAAGAAAATATATCAGTAAAAGGTTATTTAATGGTAGTTTAATAAACTATTACATTTAAAGAAAAATTATAAACAAATAATTAACACTGATTAAATTGACATGTATAAGTGGAAAATTTGTGTTCACACTTGAAACCTTTCTTCCCCTCCAACACCACCACCACCACCACCAAAAAGATATCCAGTACTTATAAACTTTCATATACATATAAAAAGAAATACTCTTCAATTTATCATTTATCATTTTACTTAGTTATAATAAATATATAACTTAAACAAAACAATTAAAAGTTAAGTAGATAACTAGTTATTTTGTTGTTGGTTAAAATAACAAGGTTGATGATAAGTAGTATTTGTGATAGAAAAATGTCTTCGTCAAGTGTGTTTTCTTTTTATAAAAATAAAAAAAAGGATTTCAAAGTGTTAATAATGATTTCATTTTAAGTTGGTACCTTCACAATAGTCTTTTATTCAGTTCTGTTTTGTAACTTTAAAGAAAAATCATTATTATATTTAATTTAAAAAATGTTTAGTTAAAATTCAAATGGTAACTTCATGAGGAAAAAATCATGATTCTTTATGAATATAGTACCAAAAACCAGATTAGATTCATTCCCTGATCAAACGGTGGCTACTTACAAAAAAAACAACAACAAAACAATCAAAAATATTAATTTCATTCACTATTCTGGAAAAGAGAAACTTTAATTTGTTTAAAATGCATTTAGCCAAATTTAATGAGTTTGTCGTAGCAGAATAACAAATCTAAGTATAATTTTAATATTTGTAATATAAGAAATGATATTCCATTGCTAAGAGCCTCAAAGAATTTTGTTTCAAGAAGAATAAAGATGTTTCGGTGAAGAAAAGTTCCTGTTTTTTTTTACGAAGATATCGTTTTCTTAAACTGAACAATCGTATCTGTAGTTAAGTTTCTACTGAGAATTTCCAGCTTCTTTGATAATGAGGTCACAGTTGTATTAGATATGTAATGAACGAACACACAAGTGGGGACGACATAAGTATTTTAAAAACACTAAGTTCAGCTAAGGGATCTCTTTTCAACGAATTTATTATCAAGCTGTACAATCGTATATATATAAAAATTTTATTGTTGTTAACGTACTAATTTCTTGAGTAAATGTGAGCACGAGTAACTAAGATGACGTGATTGGGGATTATAATACTAGATTACGTAATACGAATAATAACAATAGATTTAGTGAATGTAATAAGATGACTAAAATGTTTTTGTTACAACAATAAAAAAGTTACAGCATGATAATAAATTCTTTGAAAAGAGATCCCTTAGATGAACTTCATGTTTTGAATTTTTTAATGTTTAAATGGGAATTATCGGTCAATGTGTACTTTAATACCGGATTACAGAAAGTTTTAGTAAAATATGAGAACCATAAATTAAATACTTCATTTGCAAATTTCAGTCATTCGTCCTTTACATTCTGTATGATTCTCCCTATTCGTGTTTCTTTCCTATTTTCGTTTCTATTCTCTTCTACTTGATATTCTTAGCCTTCGACTGGCAGGGTTTCCATTTCCGATTGGTGTTACATACTACTTATATTTCACGACATAAGTAGCACACAGTACAGACATACTAAATTTTTTCATAGGACAAGATTTATGTTGATAGTTTTGACCTAAAGTGTTTGAACTTTTTATAAAAATCTCATTTAGATATTAAACAGGTATAAGATTTTCTTTAACATATTTCACAAACCATCCGTAGAATGAGTGTTGCGGGATAAAGGTAGTTTGAGTCACTCTAACAGATCCTGAGTATTTTTGAAAAACGTCTTTTGTTACAGTCAAGACAAATTTAATATTGCTGAAATAAATTCATTTCGATCTATAAATGTTTTTGTTTAGGTTTGAGTTAAATCAACTGTGGATTTCTTGCTTGCTTTACATAACTAAGTGTATCAATATACGTGAGATACCTTACAGTCAAATATTTGGTTCGTCGATCACATTTTACATTAAGACCCACTTTGAAATGTCTGATTTGGTTAATTAAACGGATAATTGAAAAATGACCAATTGTCATTAGTTGTTTACAAGTACACAATCGTTAGGCAGCTAGCTTGTTTAGAAAAAAAAATCAGAAAGTGCTTTACCAACCTTGCTGATTGTGTTTTTTATTCTATGCAAAACAGACAGGTTTTTTCTCGAGAGTTGAGGGGGGATAGTAAATAGTGATAA